GAGGCCCTGCTCTCCAAGTACCATCAGCTCCACAACACTCGGCTATAATGATGGTACACGAGTTATGTACACCCGCTCCATCCGGCAGGACCGTACACCCATCGGCTCCACTGCCTGAGGTAACTGACATGCTGATGGGAGACTCTGAGCAATATTCTATCTACCCACTGATCCACGGAGCAGGGTAGAGCAGTTCCAGGCTGACCCCAAGTGAGACACCCCGCACCTGTGACAACACACACCATGTGACACAATTAAGAGAAGAAGGACACAAAACAGGGACAAGATAAAGGACGTGACACAGACCGGAACTGCTCTGCCCTGCACAAGTGAATCCAGTGATACAAAGTAAGCCCTTCCTTTGATGTGTCCAAATAACCTGTTACAGAACACCTATTACACTGCACTAATTTCAAAAATCCCTTCAGGTGAGACACATACTTGCACCCACTCACAGCCCCTCTCTGGGTCTTTGCCCTGCACTTATCTTGCCGACAGCCGGGGATGTGAATCCATCTTCGATGCAGAGCAGGGTCACCTGGGCTGGCTCAGAGGTTCCTGGCATCGGGAGAGTACTCGGAGTCAACTGCGAGAAAGAAAACCAGACTCAAGATCTGAGTAGTGTGGCACGTGACCCCAGCCCCGGTGATCCCTCTACTCACCATCACCGAGGCAGGTCCTCGTGTCACTGGCTCTGACTAGACTTGGACAATGTGCTGTCATCTTCTGGGATACCTGAGAGAGAGAGAGACACAATTAGAGGGCATTTCTCAAGCTGCAGTGGACCCCCGCTCCTCCTGCTGCCTCCACGACTCACCTCCAATGCTCATCTGCTCCCAAAGGTTAGCTGGATGGCACCTGCAATCAAAAAAGCTCAGTGCTTCGTTGTTGATCCTTTTAATACTCGGAGATTACCTACAAGGAAAGCTCCAGGGCACCGAACCGTGTCCGTCACCTCACTGTGAGTTGGCTTCGGCCCCGTGAGGCTGTGTACATCTCCTGCAAAAAAACCCAGAGGCAAATGTGAGTACTGAGATACTGCCCAAGAGTATGCTGCTCCCATGGCAGTTTCTGTCTGACACCCCTTGACCGTGACCTCTTACAGGCAGGGTCCCCATCACGGTGGACTGTACGTTACCTGGGGGAGTGAGAAAAAAAGTTACGGGGTGTTCCTGAAATTAA